AATACAACTCTCAAAATTACTAGTACCTTAGGGCAAGCAGCTGTCTCTCTCCCTGCCCTGCCTTAACACACACACACACACGCACACACGCACACACTTTTTTTCCCCCAACTCTGGGAAATATGAGAGAATGGCTTAGGAGGGACAAGCATATGCAACTACCTATCTTTTACATAGTTTTTCTCTTAGATAAGTAAAACATTTTCCTCTTATTTATTTATTTTAAAAAAATATTTTATTTTTATTTATTTTTTAATAGATCTTTATTGGAGTATAATTGCTTCACAATACTGTGTTAGTTTCTGTTGCACAACAAAGCGAATCAGCCATATGCATACATATGTCCCCATATCTCCTTCCTCTTGAGCCTCCCTTCCATCCTCCGTATCCCACCCCGTAGGTTATCGCAAAGCACCGAGTCCATCTCCCTGTGCTATGCTGCTGCTTCCCACCAGCCAACTATTTTACATTCAGTAGTGTATATATGTTGATGCTACTCACTTTGCACCAGCTTTGCCCTCCCACCCCATTTCCTCAAGTCCATTTTCTGTGTCTACCTCTTTATTCCTGCCCTGCAACTAGGTTCATCAGTACCTTTTTTTTTTTTAGATTCCATATATATGCGTTAGCATACGGTATTTGTTTTTCTCTTTCTGACTTATTTCATTCTGTATGAGACTCTAGGTCCATCCACCTCACTACAAATAACTCAATTTCATTTCTTTTTATGGCTGAGAAATATTCCATTGTATATATGTGCCACATCTTCTTTATCCATTCATCTATCAATGGACATTTAGGTTGATTCCATGTCCTGGCTATTGTAAATAGAGCTGCAGTGAACATTATGGTACATGTCTCTTTTTGAATTATGGTTTTCTCAGGGTACATGCTCAGTAGTGGGACTGCTGGGTCATATGGTAGTTCTATTTTTAGCTTTTTAAGGAACCTCCATACTATTTTCCATAGTGGTTGTATCAATTTACATTCCCACCAACAGTGCAGGAAGGTTCCCTTTTCACCACACCCTTTCCAGCATTTATTGTTTCTAGATTTTTTGATGATGGCCATTCTGACCGACGTGAGGTGATTATTTTTATTTTATTTTATTTTATTTTATTATTTTTGGCTGTGTTGGGTCTCCGTTGTGTGCGCGGGCTTCCTCTAGTTGCAGTGAACAGGGGCTACTCTTTGTTGCTGTGCGCGGGCTTCTCATTGCTGTGGCCTCTCCTGTTATGGAGCATGGGCTCCAGGCGCTCGGGCTTCCGTAGTTGTGGCTCACGGGCTCTAGAGTGCAGGCTCAGTAGCTGTGGCTCACGGGCTCCAGAGCGCAGGCTCAGCAGCCGTGGCGCACGGGCTTAGTTTCTCCACGGCATGTGGGATCTTCCTGGCCCAGGGCTTGAACCCGTGTCCTCTGCATTGGCAGGCGGATTCCCAACCACTGCGCCACCAGGGAAGCCCCTCTTATTTAAAGTACAGTCATGACTATTAGAAAAGATTTAGAAAATTCAGAACAACATAATAAACAATTTTATGTCACTTAAAATCACTACCTAATATAACTGTTGTTAACATTGAGGTGAGTTTTTATTTTGTTCTTCATAGTTGAAATTACACAATTTTATATCCTCCTTTGATTTTTTTAAATTTAACATTGCCATAAACATTTTTACTTGTCATTAAAGATTATCAATAAACAGTTTTTGGCTGCATATTATTCTGTCTAATTTATATACCATGATTTGATTATAGGCTATGTAACTAAAGGTTGAACATTTAGATTTCCATATTTACTATTATAAATGATGCTGCTGTGAACATCTTTGTGGTGGAGCTTTTACTGAATGTTTGGTTATTTCCATGATAGAATGTTATGAGCTATTTTTAAAATTATTTGTTTATATTCTTTATATTGTTATAGCATCATAGTGCTTTTGTATTGGTTTTCATGAATGCTTTACCTAGTTAAGATATTAATCTTTTGCTATTTCTTGCATAGTTTACTCATTTTGTTTTCTTTAAATTCAGCTAATGCTGTACGTGTTTTTCTCAAACTAGTATGCCTAAAACTAATCTTTTATTCTTTCCCTTTTCTTCACTGTCCAGCTGACCAAGGCAGAAACTGAAATCTTTTCATCTTTGATCTTCTCTACCCTCCTCTGCTACATCTAGTCATCCACTGACTGAGTCCTTATTCTACCTCTTAAATATTTTTTTGTAGCCATTCACTTTGCTCCATCCCTACTCCCTCTATGTTATTAATTCCTTTGCAAAGCTTTCCCAACACTGTCCTTGAATGATTAAGTGTTCTTCACTTAAGCAGCCACTTCCAGGCTTTTGGCTCTATGTGTATATTTATACACATTGTTATGAAATTATCATCTTACTTTTTATCAGTATTCCTCAGACAGTTTTCCAAGGAACTCAAGTGTTGGTGAGATACTGTCTCTTATATGACAGAGGATTTCATGGTCAAGTTTGGAAAATAATATCTTCTTGGAGATTCATAATATAAATAATATAATATAAATTAGCATGTTAAAGGCCCTGAGAAGTTCTACTTGGCATTTTAATAGATGCTGAGTGTGTGTGATGGTGAACAAAACTAGTTTGGAGCTTAACCAAATCCTGTGGACATTTGTTTTTACCTTATCTATTTGGTACTGGGCATTACCCCTTCCTTCCTAAAACTGCTGCTTTGTCATGTGACACTGTATTCTCTTGATTCTCCTGATGTTTCTCTGATTGTTCCTTTATCTTCATGGGTTCCTTTTCTTCTGCCCACTGCAGTTGACCCATGAACAACATGGGTTTGAACTGCCTGGGTCCACTTATACATGGATTTTTTCAATAAATACATGCTACAGTACGACATGATCTGCAGTTGGTTGAATCCACAGATGCAGAACCTGGATACGGAGGGCTGACTGTAAAGTTATACATGGATTTTTGACTGTGTGGGGCTCGGTGCCCCTTAACCCCTGCATTGTTCAAGGGTCAACTCTACTTAAATTTTGGTGTTTCTTGGGGCTCTGTCGTAGCCCACTGCTCTTTTCACACTTCATCTCACCTACTCTGGTGGTTTCAAATATCACATTTGCTGCTAACTAATTGTTTTAATCAGCCCTCAGAGGACAATAGAAATGTTTTAAGTACAAGGGTTATCTTGTAGATGGAATCTGAAGTAAATCTGAGCCTCATGGGGAAAAAAGAGCTAGGAAGCTACCAGCTTCCACTAGTAGACAACCAAGCTAAAAACTTGGAAGTCTTCTTGACTCTCCCTCCCACATTTATCAGATTCTTTCAGTTTCAAATCCTAAATTCTTATTTCAGTTCCCTCCCCTCCAGCATCCATGCCACTCCCCTATGTCATGCCCTCATCACCTTTTGTTTGAACTGATTCTAATAGCCTGCTTCTGCATGCAGTTTGCTCCTGTTACATCCTTTAGGAAATCATCGTGATGTATTGAAAAATGCAGGTCTCATCACACCATTCTCTTGCTTAAAACTTCAATGGTTTCCTGTATCTCTAGAGTGAAGATGAAAAACTCCTTACCAAAGCTTAGAGGCTACTTCTTCTGCCTTCCTTTCAGCCTTAAACTGTTATGGCCGTTGTCTACTTCGTCTGGTTTTTTTTCTCTGATGTGATTATCCACACTACTTCATTTTCTTGCAGTAACCTTTCCTTGCTTCCTAACTTGTATATATCTCTTTTACTGCATTTACATATAAGCAGATGATTATAGTGAGGCCTCTTCCTCTCTAAACTGTGAGCTCCTTGAGATCAAGGAGTGTGTTTTACTGGTTTTTGTAATCCCAGCACCTCTGGTACTCTGAATGTTTGTTGAATGAATGAGGAGAATGAATACACTCATTCCCAGCCATGGTCCTTCAGCTCTTATGTCTCCCAGCCCCTACCCCACCTCTGTTGTCTCTGATTCCTCAACTGCAGGTTCTCCTACCAAGGGGGTTTTCAGGTACCTGTATTCTGCAGGTTGGGAGAGACATCTATTTTTATAAAATGATGTAGCATCGTTTTTAGTGTATAGAGAAATCCAAATACTATTAATATTTTGCACATAAGACTACTGAATATATTTTTAAAACTTAAGTATGACATTGTTATATGTATTCATTAAAGTTGTCTTTCTGTTATATAAACTTGTTAATGGAGACTGAGTTAATGTTATTGGTCATTTGCTTTTCTATCAATTTAATATTGCCCTTAGAAATATAAAACCCAGCAACTGAAGTAATTCTTAAGATATCTCTAGCAGCAGTATAAAGTTAATTTTGTAATGTCTTTCTTGTGTATATCAAGTCCAAGATCTCTCATATACTACTCGGGACTTTTCTGCTTTTGAACCATGTTGGTGTCTATTACCATTCTTGCCACATGATTCATTTATGTTTTGGGATCAGTGCAGTAGCCTCTTAACTTTCCTTAGTTTTGCCCCCTTTTAATCTATCTGTTACGTCTTTGCCGGAATGATCTTTCTTACTTAACATCCTTTAGTGGCTCCCCATTGCCTTCAGAATTGAACATAGACTCCTTAGCATGGAAGTTAGCCCTGTGTGCCTCTAGCTCATCTCTCAGTACTCTCAGTGTGCAGCCCGTGCTCTAGTTGTACTGAACTGTATGAGTCCTGTAATGCCTCCTGCTCTCAAGCCTTGGCACCTTTGTGCAGGCTGCTTCCTTGACTTCTGCTGTCCTCGTTCCCACTCTTGCTCCTGGCCTACTTCCTTTCAGCCTTCCTCCTGGAATTCTGATACTCCCCACCCTACTCTGGATTCTGTGTTCCCATTGCACACGGTGCTTATATAATGTATGTATTTGTTTCCTTGTCTGCCCCCATCACCTTGAGGACAGGGACAGTGAGTGTCCAGATATTTGGCATAGTGCCCAATACATGAATGTTCTCCATAAATATTTATCGACTGTTGTCATTGTTAGTAATTCTGGAATGCACCATTAATGTTTTAAAACTCTGTTTTTGTAGCCTCAAGGAATAGGTTCTCCTAGTGTTTATCATGCGGTTATCGTCATCTTTTTGGAGTTTTTTGCTTGGGGATTATTGACAGCACCCACCTTGGTGGTAAGTAATCTTTTAACTTATTTATCACTGACTTTAAAATTTCTTTTTCTTCGGTTTCAGGAGGGAAATAAGTTTGGGGAGGAAAAAAAGGCTCTTTCCTTTCCAAGGTTAATTCTCCCACCAATATCGTCAGCCCTTTAGTACTGTATTTTACTGGTTTAGTTGTCTTTTCCAACCTTTACTTCTTCCTTACTTTTTGGCAGGGCTTGGGCAGGTGTGATTCTTCTGGTGAACACTGGAAAAGTTTAAGCAGGGCTCAGTCCCCCCTCTGGGGAAGGTGGAAAGGATTCTTATACTGACAAGCTTAGGAAGAATGGTGTCTGTGCCCTGAATCACTCAACATTATTATTTTGAGATTCATTCCTGCAGTTGCATTTTCCAAATACAAGTTTCTTTTAGTTTAGGCAGAGGATCTAGAGGTAACCATCTAGAGAGGTCATTCTTTTCATAGCTCTAAGCTGATTTTACTCAAATATTCCCAGGTTTAGAACCTCACAAAAAGACCTCCCTGCCAGACCAAACATCTTAGGTGATAGCTAGTTTTCTCCTGTCGGCTTAGATGAGGGGAATGGAATGAAGGAAGGAGTAATGGTAGACCTCTATGATATCTTGAAAGGTGTAATCAGGATAAATGTACAGCTTTCTAAATCCCAGAAGAACAGATTTTTAAAGAGATATACTTCCTTGTTTTTTCATGAGCTTGTTTGTTGATACACAAAAAAGACTTTTATAAAAAGTTCATAAATTGATCATATATAGATAGATTGAACTAGTCTACTAAACATTATGATTATGACATTTGTAACCACATTATACTGTAATAACCTGATGTCAAGGGGCTACTGTGGTGTTGTAATAACTGTGTTCTCACACCTTTGTATTAGCTTTCTAATATTAGAGTGTGCTTATTTATAATCTACCAATTTAACATATAAATCTGTCTGGTGGATCATTAGTCCTATGGTTTAAAGTACTTGAGCTTTGTAATAGCAGTTTGTATATATTTATATAATGATGAGTCCAGGCACTGTAAATACGTCTAAGCACTGTAAATACATTACTTTAAATCCTCAAAACCACTTTATCAATGAGGAATTAGCCTCATAATGATGCCGAAAGCTCAGCCTCTCTGTACACTGGTGCCGAGTCAAATCTTGGAGGCAGAGTTTTGGGTGAAGTAGAAGAGAATAGCTTTATGGCTTTGCCAGGCAAAGAGGAACACAGCGGGCTCCTGCCCTCTGTGAAACTATGAATATGTGTCCCAACCTGGGAGGATTTGATGAAGAGTTTTGTAGCAATAGTTCAAGGGTGGAGTTGCTGATAAGATTAGGGAGGGTATGTGTAGGGCCTGCACTCCTTTAATGTCTTCTCAGGTAATCTTGATGAGCTTCTCTGGTTCCTTTAGTCTGGCCTCAGTTGGTCTTCTCTGGTATGGAGAATGCTGACATCTTCCACTTGTTGGTTTTAATTCTATAAAGGGGCTTAACCATATTGTTATGTGTGTCCCTTGAGGTGGAACCAGGATCCTGCCCCAAGGCTGCACTATTGTTTCTTGACTGTTCCTGCCTTGACTCTGCATCCCTTCCCTTCCTGGATTAGCAACTGTTCAACTGTTCAAATCTGCCCTTTGGAACTCAGGGAAGGTCATGGAGCTGAACAGAAAGGCTCCCTGTGCCCAGGAGACCCTACAGGGTCCTCCTCATTTTCAATAATACAGATGAGGAAATTAAGGTTTAGAAGAGTTAAGCAACTTGTTACTCTGATAGTAAACTGCAGTTTTGGTTTTAAACCTAGGCTTGTTTTGTTCCTAGTGCTCAGTCTTGGAGAATACTGGTAGCAAGTGGTTCATACCCATGTTTTAGGTAGTTGAGTTTATCTGCAGCGCAACTACTAGCTAAGTAGAGAGATTAAAATATTGAGTAAACTGTGAGCAAGCCATCAAAAAAAAAAGCTTTTTGTGATGATTCCATAATTTGTCATCATGATTTGAAGTGCGTGTAGCTGTTTTTTAAATTCATATCTCATTTATATTTTTTAGATATCTCAACTTTTTCTCTAACTTCGGTATCATTTTTTCTAATTGGACAAAAAGAGATTGTCTTCTTTAAGAACAAGGAAGAAATCCAGTTATTTAGATATAACTGCTTGCTTGTTAGTTCATTTTTCATAGCTATGGGAAAACTGTGTGCTTAATACATTCTTAACTATTTTTTGTTGATTAAAAAATGGATAGTACCTTTGATTTTTCTTTTTCTCTCTTTTTTCTTTTACTTTTTAGAATACTGAATTGAATTATGGTCAGGAAAATGAAAAGTGCTAATTTGGGACTTAATGAATTATTTTTCTATTGCCAGCATAAATACATATCTTAGAATAATTGCTATAACATTGTTGCCAATTATTTTATTTATGGAAAGACTTCTTTCGCCCCATTGTTGTTGTAACAGTTACTCTTAATTCCCATGTTTTTTTTTAATACTTGAATTTTTAAAAATGGTGAAATGATGAGGTGTTACATGGGGCAGTTGTCCATAATATTATCATAGTCATAATTCTTTACCTTTTTCAATTTTTCACTTCATTATTTTTTTTTAAATCAAGCTTTCTCTCATGAAAAATAAGTTCAAGTATAAATGAATGTTAAGCTCAGAGTTTTATTTTTCTGATTCTTTTCTCATCTTTAATGTATACACATTTTAAAAAATAATTGCAGTGGTTGTGCTCTACATTTTTTTGCTTGATGGGGAAAACCTTGGGTGGTTTAGGCAAAACAAGGATTGAATTGTAGAGATTAGATGTATCTAAGTGTTGAGATTTGTTATACTCTTATAACAAATTACTTACTGGTGTTTTAACAGTTTTAACTTACTGGTGTTATAACAAATTACTTACTGGTGTTTTGGCCTTTGGGCATTGGAACAGCAAGAATCTTTGAAACATCACTGAAAAATAGTTGTGCATGGGAAATCTATATATATATACAGTTCTCTCTCTAGATGTTACATATGTTACTTTTTTAGTAATTAGAAACACAGTGTCTGCCTGTTGTAGACCATTAAGCAATGTGAAATGTGTAAGAACAGGAGAGTTCTCCTGCAGTCTTACTCATCCCTCCAGGCAACCATCAGTTTAGGAGATTTTGGCTTCAGGGTAGGCTTTACCAGCCCCATTAGGACAGATTGGCGAACTGGAGATGAAGGTTTCAGCTGTTAGAATGTGGTATCTATTAAGTCAGTGATTTTTTTAAACCAGAGGTGAATATTAGTGATACCTGTTTTTGTTTTTTCCCCCAAATACCTAGGCCTTACAACCTTTCTGGCTGAAATCAGAGTTTTCAAGGGGGAGGCTCAGGCATGTATATTTTTTTAGAAGTGATTCTCATATGTCTAGTATATATCACTAATTAAGAACCAATATACGAATTCACTGTGGGCTTTTAAAAAAGGTTTTGCTCATTTTGAGACTTTCTGCTTGCAATTTTTTATTGTTGTTGATTTTATTAGCAGGCTTTTTCTCTTTGTTTTGGACTCCTATACTCCCCCGTGTTGGAGTGTGAGGAAAAGTGAGTTTTGGGGTAGAAGGCACCAAGTTGTAGCACTTTGCTCTCTTTTCCAAAAGTCTGTTAACCTTTAAACATTTTATTTCTGTCTTACGTGTTTTGAAACTGATTATAAATGGTGCCTGCTAGAGAGTCACAGCTCTTATTCATTTAGAAAGGGAAAGTGAGGATGAAGATATATTTGAGTTTATTTGCATTTTATGTATCTCTCTCTTCCCATACATAGCTCTCAAAAATTATAAAATTTAAGCGTTTCAATTTTCAAAGATACTCTTTGAATTAATTCATTTAACGGATAACCAAATTTAAAACATATTAATTATAATAAATGTTTGGTGTTGGATTTATAATAACCTTCATTTTAAAAAGTAATGTGAAGTTAAAAGAAATTAAAAAAAAATTCCATGTGGTTGCAATTATCTTTGAGTTTTAAGCCCATGGAGCTTGCAGAACACTGTTCTAGAATACAGTAAAAGAACAAAGGCTGCATTCTATGTGGAGGACCTGCCCAGGGCAGGATGGTGAAATCTCCAACAAGGGGATTTACGTTAATTACACAGAAGAATTTTATATTGACATTTTTAAGGACAGTAATCTAACACTTTGAGAGGTTATGACTATATGGTTGGTTCATAGTGGGTGTTCAGTCAGTGATTATTGATTGACTAAATAATATACATTTACGTAAAGAGAATTAATGACAGTTGGACTAAGGATCTATAATGCTAAGAACTGGCTTCACTTTTTGACAGACCTATGGTTCTAGAAATACTAGGCCAATATTTGATGGTTCAGGTTGCTAGATGCACAATCCATGTTATGGAGCAAGACCCTGCACACCAGTCCTCCAGCATCTCTTCTATGGCTTAGCATTCTTTGCTCATAGATAGTCCTGAAGCATTTATTAGTTAAAGGACTATTTACTCTCAAAATTTTTTAAGTTCTTAAAAATTTTAAGATCCATAAAATTTATTGGAAAATGACACATTTTTTTCCTATTCAGCCCCAGTGCTTAAGGGTCCCCCAGGATTAAAAATCTTTACAACCAACATTTTTATTACTTCTTATATTAATATTTGTCTCTGTGTTAAAATTTTTGTTAAAAAAAAAGTGAGGGTTTGTTTATCTTTAGCTATACTCCTTTGGAGGGGTTATAAAAGTTTTTATTTTGTAACATTTGGTTAAATCAATTTGCATAATTGTCATGTTATATTAAGTCATTTTGAAAGCAGAATTTATAATCTGTTAATTATGAACATTTGTGAACGGTTAATAGTGCCTCTATTGATGAGGCACTAATAGAAATAAAAATATATAAATATATAATAAAAATATATAAATATATAAAAAAAATATAAATATAAAAATATATTAAATGCAAAGTGTAGTAGATATAGTGCCTGTCTGCCCTTAAGAAGTTTGAAATATAATTGAAAAGAAATATTTATCAAATACCTGAAAAGATGAAAAATACAAGACCTAAGTAACAGAGTACTGTAATATAAAAAATATTAGAAAGCTATATGTGATGACCAAGGGAGTGCTGTAATCACCCATTATATGGTCCTAAAGGAGAAATTGATTGCTTTGGACAGGAAAGTTTGGTAGCAAAGGAGCAATATGGAAGATTTTGGGGTCGACTAGATAGGGAAGATAAGGGGAACAAACATTTATGGTAGATAGGATATCATGTGTAAAAGTATGAATATTGGAAAGCATAGGAATATTTCTAAAGTAGTGAAAAGACCAGATTGATTGGAATGGAAGATGGCTTGGCAAAGTGAATTGTTAGAAATAAGATTCAGTGTATTACAAAACTTCTTGTAAGCATTCGTTATGTCCTTCTTTCTTTTTAACACCAAATCCATTCTTTGTCCCTAGAAAGAATTGGCCCTTAGTAATAACTGGAACAAAAGCAGATTTAAGTTGTTATGAAAGGTTTGGGGATAAGGAGTTTAAATCTTTTTCTCTAGTACAAGAACTAGCAAACTATGGCCAGAGCAAATACTGCTAGTACCCTGTTTTTGTAAATAAAGTCTTATTGGAACACAACCATGCCTATTTATTTACATATAGTCTATGGCTGCTTTTATTGAGTTGAGCACTTGTGACAGAGACTGTATGGCCTGCAAAGCTAGAAAAAACTGAAAATATGTACTGTCTGGTTCTTTACAGAAAAAGTTTGCACCCACCTTCTTTGGATCCATGGGTCTTCACTATAAATAATAAATAATAGGGTTTTTCAACTATCGAGATTTGGGGCCAGATGATTATTGTGGGGGAGGGCTGACCTGTGTATCGTAGGATGTTCAGCAGCCTTCCTGACCTCTACCTCATAGATGCCAGTAACATATTTTCTTTCCCCTGACCCCCGCCCTCCCCGATCCCTCATGTTATGATAAAAATGTCTCCAGACATTGTCAGATGTCCTCTGGGGGTCAAAATCACCCTCCGTTGAGAATCACAAAATATGTGAATATCATAAATATGTGATTTTTTCCATATTAGTGATTTTCTTTGAATACTAAACATTTCTAATTTTATTTTTACATAAAAGCTAATTTTAGTTAAATTTCTAGTTATTGGCAGAAGAGTAACTGAAGAAAAGCGAGCCTTCTAATCTTTCTAAAGGTTTTACTTGCAGGATGTTAGAAAGTACAACCAGCATAGTTTTTCTTCCTAAAGAGAAGATTTTCCGACCTGTCTCATTCCCCACATTGCCATTCTCTATTGTTTTTATTGAGAGACAGTATGGTATAATGGAAGAAGCATTGGCTTTAAGTCAAGCAAGAACTCAGTTGCCACATCTGTAAAGTGGTAATATCTAATTCATAATATTGTTAGGATTAAGTAAAAGTATATATAAAGCCTCTGATACATAGGCTGTGAAAATGGTGGTTGCTGCTTTTTATTTTTTTAGTTACCTTTCCCGCAGTTACTTTCTCAACCAATGAGTTCCCAATGGTTCACTTGTTACCCAGTGAACAAACTGATGCCATGTGGTTTGAGACCAGGCCTTGGAAAGGATAAAGAAACTTGTTATACATTTTCATGGGTTGGGATTTTTTTTTCTTTCTTTCTTTCTTACCTTATGGAATCTCTAGGTCCACTTTTTGGCAATTAAATTTTCCCTATTTATTCTCCTAGTCTCCTATCTTAGATAATACACCTGTCTGTAAAGGGAGTTATAAGTCAGTCGGTTATATGTTGGAAGCAGGATAGCATAGTGATTAAAAGCATGGGCTTTCAAGCTTGACTTCCTGTGGTCACTTTCAGTTTTGCTACTTACTATGTGATCTTAGATAAGACATTTAACCTCTCTGTGTATCAGTTTTCTAATAGGGCCATTACGAAGAATGAAAGGAGATAATGTGATAAAGTGCCCAATTTAGTGCCTTGTGACATAGTAAATGCCGTATAAATGTTTGGTGTTATTAGTATTTACTCATATGCATAGTGTCATACAAACCTGAAAATTTATATGAAATAAAATTGGATTGTGTTATGAAGGGACGTTTTACGTTTTACTAGGACTAAAATGTAGCATGAGCTTTTTATTTTGTTCTTATTCTTTAGGTATTACATGAAACCTTCCCTAAACATACATTTCTGATGAATGGCCTAATTCAAGGAGTAAAGGTAGGATCAATCATATATATATATATATATGCATATACACAAACATGCACAAATATACTTATGTAAATATATGTAATTCTGCCAGTTTATTAAGTTAGTTGATCAATCTCCTAAGTATTAATTTTTACAATTGGAGTATATCTTGGGGGATTACTTAGCACTTTTTAAATGAACTGGGTTTTAAATATGATTTGACTTACATATAGCCAACTATGTATAATAATGATAAACCACATCATAACAAATTTCCCCTGTGTTTTACGTGTTGGCACTTTCTTTACAAAGATCTGAGTGCTTTTTGTAAACTAGCAACAAGAATATAGATTGAAGAGAAAAGAACTATTTAAAAAATGCATGAGTATAAAATATATCAATATGGTAAAATTTTGATTATTCTACATATTCTTTACTCTTGGTTCCATTTGATCAACAAGTTTATAAACTGATAATTAGCATATGATATTCCTTCTAGAATTGCTAGAGTTGTGGTTGAGAATTCATTAGAACGTTTTGTGTTTAATATGCTACCACAGCCCGCAGATGGTTCTGTATGGTCTTGGGAAATTGAAAAATTATATACAGACAAGAAACAAGTTGTTTATCTAAAGTTTGGTGATATACTTATTTTAGAAATAAACTTGTTTAAAATTCTTCTGTGGTAGTAAAATGATTTATTTTTGGCTCATCAGTATACATAGTATATGTATTTTCTTCATTTAACTTTTTTTTAGGGTTTGTTGTCATTCCTCAGTGCCCCACTTATTGGTGCTCTTTCTGATGTTTGGGGCCGAAAATCCTTCTTGCTGCTAACAGTATTTTTCACGTGTGCCCCAATTCCTTTAATGAAGATCAGCCCATGGTACGTGCACATTCAGATTATAGCAACTAAATATCAACTGTTAATTGTTTTCTGAATATTCCCTTATTTCTTCCACTTTTTTTCCATCTTATCTATGTAGGTTTTTAATTTATTTTTCTAATACATTTATTCTTTGATACAGATAAGAGGGCCTTTAAAAATATAGTAGCTAAGTAATATAACAGTAAGTAATAAAGTTTTTTGAACTAGATGCCACTATAGGAAGCATGTAGACTACCAGCTAATCTGCTTTTGGATTTCACAGCCCAAATTTCAAAACAATATTTTAGGTACTGGATAGGGTTGCTAACTTTTTATTTTATTTTATTTTTTTTGTGGTACGCGGGCCTCCCACCGCTGCGGCCTCCCCCAATGCGGAGCACAGGCTCCGGACGCGCAGGCCCAGCGGCCATGGCTTACGGGCCCAGCCACTCCGCGGCATGTGGGATCCTCCCGGACCGGGGCACGAACCCGCGTCCCTTGCTTCGGCAGGCGGACTCCCAACCACTGCGCCACCAGGGAAGCCCTAACTTTTACTTTCTTAAGTAGGATGTTAAACACAACGTTTATCATCATTATCTATATTAATTAGGAATAGATTTTGTTATATATCAGTAAAGTCCCAAATAATCGTTTCTTAAAAACAAGTTAATTCACTGCTAATTTCTCTCTCCATATAAAAGAAGTCTGGAGTTGAGTAGTCCAGAGCTGGTAGGGCAGTTCCCGGGAACCAGACTTTTTCTATCTTCATGCTCTGCCATCCTCCACTATCACCTCACTGTCCAGATGGCTGCTTAAGTGAGCTCCAGCTTGTGTCACCTTCAGGCAGAAAAGATGGAAGGAGTGGCTACAAAGAGCATACTGCCTTCCGTTAGGGAAACTATGGAATTCCCACCCAACCTCTGTTTGCGTCTGTTTGGTCAGATTTCAGGCATACGCTGCTCCTAGTTACAAGAGGCTGGGCTCTTGGCCACCCTGATTAAAATCAAGTCTTCCACTGAGGAGGAAGGGAGGGAAAGCTCACAAAGAGAATGATTTTCCCAAGATAATAGAGCCCAATTTAGTTGTAGATTTTTTAATTCTTTGACTAATATTCTACTCCACTTGAATATTAATGTTAGTTAATTCTATATCATAGATCGGCTGTATTTCCATGGTGAATCTAGAAAGGTCAGGGCTATTTATGAGGCAGGATCTTCCTTCCTCTCATAGGTGAGATATAACTCTGAAGGCCAAACCCTTGATGAATGCTAATCATCTAAATGAAATCTTACCAAACAAATCTAGGGCATGAACAAGTTATTTGCTGTGGAAAGCAGCATGTTAGAAAAAAATTGGTAAGCAATAAAGTCCCGGTGGCATGATATTTTGAAAGTGCAATATGATTTCACTTGATTTTAAAAACTAAACATCAGCATTACAATAGAGACTTCTTATTCTCAGCCAGGTATTTTTGAATCATGTATAGCAAAATGTAATTTGCTTTTTAAAATAGCTTTTGTTCATTTTATTTTGGACACTGCCATACAGGTTGTTTTGCCGACATTTGAAGAACTAAAGATAGCTTATGGAAAAACATCTAGTTTCTATATATAGACTCAAGATAAATATAGACTAACTTGTCCCTCAGTTTTATTTACTGGATTTTGTTTTTTTGTGTAGTACTGTGATGGGAAATTGTAATAGATGAATTATAGTAGACTCTATAGTTTGTTGCTATTTTTAGTAGAAACAATAACAAAGCCACTTAACAATTCAACAATTGGGTAAAAAATTGACCTGAATACATTTTCTAATTTTAAGTATTCCCACATAGTAGCTGAGTTGCTATCGAAGGCCCACATCTAGCCCTGTTTACATAATATCTGGGGCTTATGATTTATAGAAGAATTAATCTATGAACTGTCCTAGTAAGCTGTTGACTGAAATTAGGTATACGTACATTAGTTCACTTATAAAAATGAAGATTAAGGTAATAGTAATTGTTTTCTAACCATTTCTTGTCAATTATCTTTCAATCCTAGGTGGTACTTTGCTGTTATCTCTGTTTCTGGGGTTTTTGCAGTGACTTTCTCTGTGGTATTTGCATATGTAGCAGATATAACCCAAGAACATGAAAGAAGTATGGCTTATGGACTGGTATGTATTTTTAATCTGTACCTTTGTGTCTGCTGAAAAACACCGTGTTATTGTCTTTTATTACAAGGAGTGCAAGCCTTTGCATTATAAGATTTATTTTTGCATAAGTACATTTTATAATAAAATCATCCATTAGACTACATTAAATTTTTTTTCAGTACAAAGCCATGTAAGTTTTGATATTTTCATTCAGTCAGTATTAGTCACACATATCAGATTTGAAATTACAGTGGAATATTTTTACCTTATATAAGTTCTTTTTAATAGAATACTAAAAGAACTATTTAATATGTAATGAGTTTTAAAATTACTCTTATTTAATGGCTAATCTAAAATATAATAGGTTAACACCCATCTCAGGGATCCCAAACCTTCTTGGTGGCTTTCTGGGCCACACAGAGTCTCTCTCATATTTTTTCTTTTTTCTTTTCTTTCTTTTTTTTTTTTTTAACTTAGCTTTTTTAATAATTAATTTTTATTGAATAAGTCTGACATAATAACATTATTTAACTTTAAGGTGCACAAAGTGTTACTTTGATCCATTTATATATTGTAATATGATTGCTGTTATAGCTATATTTATCATATTACATAATTATAGTACAATATTGTCTATATTCATTTTACTTTGCATTGGATCTCTTTGGCTTATTTACTACTCCTTGCAAGTTTGTCTCTCATATTCTTTTGTTTTTGCTTGTGGACATGTGTTTATATCACTTTTAACGTGGAAGAATCATTTATAGCTAGATTCAGCCCAGAGGCAGTAGTTTGCCAAATTCTGGACACTTAATGTCTATCGAATCTAGAAATAAAATAAGTTAACGGATCACTGTTAGCCAGAAGTAGGACAGTGATGAGCTTCAGCAGATAGGGAGCAAGCATCTTTTGTTAAATAAGGACTGAATATTGTGTCAGGTTGAATCTTACTTTTATGAGAGTCTGTTGTCTTTGATTCAAAGATCAAAAAATATAACAAAGAATCATGGAATTAAGAGGATTTGGAGGGAAATACCTATAGTGAGAAACATACCAAAAAAACTAATGATTAGTTGTAAACTCAAGAACATTAAATGATAGGAAGTTAATGATAGCCAGGATGTTTTAAAACAGCTTTATTGAGATATAATTTACATACCATAAAATTTGTCCATTTTGTGTGTATAGTTAAATCAATTTTAGTAAATTTATACAGCTTTGCAACATGCCCACAGTCCAGGTTGTTTCTGTTTTTGCTAAGGTAATTTATTTTGTCATAGCCAAATCTTTGAAATTAATAGTTTCAACCTGGAAGCTTTATGTATTGAAGGCACATCTAGTAAATGACAGTTTCAATCTTCTAGAAATAATATGGCTGCAGATAAAAGGGAATAAAGTGATCTTTGTGGTCATCTTTCTGTCTGGCCAGAAAAAAATAGCCACCAGGGAGGAGAATCGAGGAGAAGGGAAATGACATGAAATACCTGCACTCTGATTAGACCTTTGCTCTCTCCTATTCCCAGATACCTCACTGACGCTTACAGTGAGAACCACTGCCCCTTTCCCAACTCCAGTGCCAGAGCTCTGCTCATAACCCAGGTCTCTCTGAGACCACAGCCCACTGTAATGAATTTCTAGAGCTACTGTAACAAAATACGACCACAATACAGTTTTAGAACATTTCCATCAGCCCAGAAAGTTCCCTTGGGCCCATCTGCCATCCGTCTCCACTTTACCTCTGACCCCAGGCAATCACCAGTCTACCTTCTGTCTCTGTAGTTTTGCTTTCAATAGAAATTTCATATAAATGAAATAATGCAAAATGTAGTCTTTTGTGTCTGCACTTAGCATAATCTTAGGAGGTTTATCTATGCCGATACATGTATCAGTAGTTCCTTTTACTGCTGTGTAGTATTCCACTGTACAGGATATACCACATTTTGTTTATCCATTCACTAGTTGATGAACATTTGGGTTGATAGCTAGATGTTTATAGTTATTAGAATTTTATGTACTTGTCAAATAAGTGCTTGTGTAAATAAGCACTCCTGTGAAGTTTAAATCCTCCATGCAAAAGTCAGAAAGAGCATACAAACAGAATAAAGCACAAGAGAAGGGAGCAGAAGCTCATGCACCTATAACATTAATTTCTAATTATCCTCTGAAGAATGTGGTCTCTATCATTTGTTACCTGTTGTCACATCTATTGTTGATTTGCAGGCCACTGTCCAGTAGGCCAGATATTTCTGGGATTAACAGTTTTTCTCCCCCTGTTTTCTATACTTTAATCTGCATCTTCACCAGACTTGTATGGGCTTCCTCAGGATGTTAGAGAGACATGGTTAGAGATGGGCTCAATGCCAAGGATGGATGATCTCGTTCTTCCTAACCCTGCCAGCTAATGATGACCAAGTTCAGATTTGTGCTGCGGCTTAACACTATTACTGCTGAAAAGATAAACTTTAAAGTCTTTAAGCTTTATTTCAGCCAGCTTTAAATATGTATCAAAGTAAACATTCATTTAATTTTAACTTTAATATTGGGGGAAAGGTCTCAGTGGCATTGGATTTCCTTAGAGTATTGTTTTAGACTCGGTTCACAGAGCACTGTGGGATTATGGAGGCACCCTAGGGGCCAGCATGCCTGGCAGTTGGTGTGGGCTGGGTGTTTGGGTGGTAATCCAGGCGCCCGACCCTTCTTCAACTAAAACAGTTTTTTATTTTTAAATCTGTTTTTACTTACAAGTTTGTCAGTAGGATTTATTTAAACAGAGGGCTCCAAGGCTTAAAAGAAAGTTTGAAGCCACTATCTTAGAGGTTATTACATATTTTTTAGTTAAGAATCTAATTCTTTTCTCTTTCTGCAAAAGAAGAAAGTATAAGAAAACTGGCACAGGTAGGAGGAGGAAAGGGAAACTGCAGCAGGAGGACTGACATAAGTCAGAGTCTCTGTGGTGTGGAAGTAAAGGAGCCAGATGTCCTGCCTAATCTCTTTCTATTGATCTTGGTTTGTTGCAGGTTTCAGCAACATTTGCTGCAAGTTTGGTAACCAGCCCTGCAATTGGCGCTTATCTTGGGCGAGTGTATGGGGACAGCTTGGTGGTGGTCCTGGCTACAGCGATAGCTCTGCTAGATATTTGTTTTATCCTTGTTGCTGTGCCGGAGTCATTACCTGAGAAGATGCGGCCTGCATCATGGGGAGCGCCCATTTCCTGGGAACAGGCTGACCCCTTTGCAGTAAGTTTATGCTTTTTCATTCACTTTGACAAAAAAATGAATGTGTGATTCAGTGCAGCATTAATGTTTTGTTGTGGATGTTTCTTTGGGGAAAACATCGTGATGGATTTTTAAAAATATTTTGAAATACTTTTCAGAATACTTTTGGGGAGGATGAGAATAAACTGGGGGAAAAAAAAGACAACTAGCTATCTGTATATACACTGCCAGAAGATATCTCTGCATGTTCTTAAGAATAGTTCAGTGTTTTGATATAAAACCTTGTATTGGTCTCTTTCTTCTTCTAGTCCTTAAAGAAAGTGGGCCAGGACTCCATAGTGCTGCTGATCTGCATTACGGTGTTTCTCTCCTACTTACCGGAGGCAGGCCAATATTCCAGCTTTTTTTTATACCTCAGACAGGTAAAATTCTGTTCTACCAAGGTGGACTTTTCTTTCATTGTTGAGTGTCTTAATACAAAATATTTACTCTTGAGAGAACTTTAAGAGCAGGGACTTTTAGAAATGACTATCATTTAAAAAATAATGGCTCACTAGAATTAACCTCCTGTTCAGTGTGGCTGACGTTCCTTATGCATTTCTATGAAGACTTTTGGCTTAGGCAAAAAGAGATGATTTTCCTGTCAAAGTGTGTCATTTGAGCTTGTTTATGTTACGTGTAGCTTATACGGGTGATGGGATGCTTTAATCCATTCACCTGCTCCAGTCTCTTTGTGATTTAGAACATATATTTGTAAAGCAGCTAGCCAAAATAAGAGCATTAGTTCTTTTCTCCTTGACATTAATCTTACTAGGCAGAGATTTAAGCCTTTATCAGTACTTGTAAAAAGCACAAAATGGTGCAATATTTATTTGTAAAATGGATTTTGAATGCTTGATAGCGGTCTCCTATTTAGGAAATCAAAATTACGGGATTTAGATTTACTTAATCTAAGTTATGTAGCTATTATTTTCAGTATCTAACACTTATTATAATTTTGGTCCTCAGTGAAAGCCAGATTCTTCCTCTGAGGAGTTATTTGGTTACAAATGAATTGCATTTTCTTTTTCTGGCCGATTTAATGTTAATATACAAGTAGTTGCATTAGTATGGTATTTGTTATGCTTATTTTATTAATGTTACTTTTTCTGGAAACCTTCTAGATTATGAAATTTTCACCAGAAAGTGTTGCAGCATTTATAGCAGTCCTTGGCATTCTTTCCATTATTGCACAGGTGAGTTTCTTTTTCGTTAGAGGGAGAGATGTTTGAAGGTTCGGAAACATAATTCTGTTAGTATAGGTAGTATTGATTAGATTTGGGGGACTGACACGAACTAATCAACATACGATGTGTAAACCAGAAAGACAGTTTATTGATTTACACTAGCGTATTCACCTGCATAAAATCAGAAATTTTACGTTAGTCTTGTTCTACTGTTGATTGATTCATTCAGTAAATATTTATTGAATACCTATCATGTGTCAAGCGCTCATGATCCCTGCTGTTGTAAAGTTTGCATTCTTGTGGGATAAGAGAATGAGTAAGCATGTCAGTGTAAACATATCCGGTGTAATGAAAACTATAGAGAAAAAGGGCACAAGGGATGTAGAGCGTGGCTGGGGGCAGGGTGTTATTTTATTTGGGAGGGTCGGGAAGGCTTTGCTGATACAAGTGACATTTGAGCAGAGAACCAAAGGAATGAGGAACAATCGACTGGAATACCTGGAGGAACAATCCACTGGAATATGCCAGAACAGAACTACAACTCTGAAAGACAGTTCCTGGCATGTGTAAGAAAGAGCCAGGGGACAGTATGGTTCTGGTGGAGTGAATAAGGGAGAGAGTGTCAGGAGATGAATTCTGAGAGGTGGAGAGGGACCAGATCGTGTGCGGCCTTCTGGGTCATCATAAGACTTGACAAGAAGATAGGAGGGTTTTGAGCAGAGAAGTGACATGAGAACATTTTTATCTTGGAAACCCAGTTGGTAGCTGGTGGTTGTTTGATGAATAAGATATTAATCAACAGAAGAATCTGGATTTTCTTAGGAGATATTTCATCTGGCCTTCAGACTATCTCAGTTCCACTCTTTCTCCTTTCTGTGGAAAAAACCCCTCCCATTTCTTTCTGTTGGGCTTTGTTTTTTCCAGACTCTGTAAACAATCTACTCTAACACTCTTTCCCACCTTAGATCCAATCTACTAGGTTGCAGCTTTTTCTATTTTATTCTACTCTTAAAATGGAAAGTAAAGTCCATTTAATAGTACTCTTGGATGTTTCACCATCTTGGAGGTAGGATTGCTTCTGCAGATCTCATCATTTATGAATTTCTGGTAGATTTAGTGATAGGCTTCAAATTCAAATTTAAATTGTATAATATACTTCCCCCAAGGCTTCAGAAATATGCTCTTTAGCTTTGGGGGGAAATATATTGTTGCCCATATATAAAAATAGCTTAAAAAAAAAACCTTTCTGAACACAAAGGAAAGTGTACTAAGACTAGAGCTTGATGAATTATCAAATGTTAAACTGACCTTGAATCCTGAGATAAATCCAGCCTGATCATTATGTCTTATCTTTTTCATATATTGCTGAGATTAGATTTGCTACTATTTTATTTGATTTAGATGTTAAAGAGAACAGGCTAACATTTACTATAATGACACTTAAAGCGGTTAGTAGTTGTAAGGTCTTTAAGTTCCGCCTCATACTTAACTGAGCAGGCAAGCTGTAGGTGGGCACCTAATAAATTTGGGCACACTGTAGACTGCTTGAATGATGAGTTGAAGGTGCTTTAGAGGAAATCTTCCCTCTGCTCAGTAGATTGCATCAGGCACAAAGGAATACAGGATGGAAAACAGTCCCTAAGAGCTCAGAATTCAGGAGGGCAGACATGTGAACGCAGGAGGCGGCGTGGTTGGGTTTGCATTGGAAAGAGCCCTGCAGCAGCAGGGTCATGAGGGCTGTGAATCTAGAAGGAATGAGCCACGACCCAGCCAGCGTTGCTAGCACAGCAGATACTGTAAACAGAAACATGGTCTACAAGGAATACAGTACTTAAATGACCACTCAGCTTTTGGGGCCTACACAGAAGCATAGTTTTGGAGATGTAAAATCACATTTCTCAAAGTGAGAAAATTAGTTGAACTTCAAAAACAGGTGAATAGGCATATGTAGTCTGCATGTAAATATTGATAATTAAGTTTATGTCATTATATGAATTAAAATATCAAGTAAAATTTATAGCCCCAAAGGAAGAAGCATTAGCTTATGCTCTCATTTATGGCAAGTATACAGTTGAGAATGACTTCTCCCCTGTTGACCTCTAAGTGAAAGACTAGTGTCTTTGACTCTCTTCTCCAGTAGCACAGAGCCTGCCTCTCTTTATTTTCTTGCTTGCTCTTGTGCCTTTGTTCCTGCCGTCCTTACTGCATCCCCCTTTCACCCCCTAAGTATACATTCTCTGAGTTCTCATATTAACTTGGGTGTATCTCTATCATGGTACAGAACACACCATATTATGAATTTTACCTCTGTTTACTATTTTTGCCTCAGTAGCTTTGTGAGCTCTAGTAGAGCTCCGAGAGGATTGCGAGGTCAGAATTACATCATATTTGTCTTGGTCACTCTAACACCCTGCACTGTGCCTGCAGCCCAGTACGTGCTAAATTAGAGGTCATTGGTTTTTTCCCATAGTGATTTTAAAACTTTAAAAAGTAGTAGTAAGCATTTAAAAATTGGGAGGTGTGATATAAAAATATGGAAATGCAGCTTCTCCCCCAAATGAGGAGATGTGGTAACATGAATGTGACCTTCAGTGGAAGCCCCATGGTTGCTGTCCCCTTCGGGCCTTTGCTCTCTGGTTTGCCATAGGCCCCATCACTTCCTTGGCACCAGCAGGCACGAGTTCATAACATTTGCACTCAATAAACGTTTACACGAGTGCATGGAGATAGTTCTACACATTTCCTCAGTGCTGTCACACACCTGGTGGGCATCTCACCCTTGACATGGCTGTGACTGCAACCTGGCTTCCTTCCACCCAGTGCTGTTCATCTCGTTCAGTGGCATCACCACTCTCCTGGCTGTTGGGGCCAGGAACCTTGGTGCCATTCTTGATTACTTTTTTTCTCCTTCTCCCACACCCGGCACATCAGATGGTATCTCCTTTCACTTCTCTCCAAAACATATTTTGAATTGAAGCACTTCTCACCATCTCCATTACTAGGAGCCTAGTCTAAGCCAAGACCGTAGCCTCCATCTGGTCTGTTTCCATGTTTGTCTCCCTACGGCTTGTTTGCCACTTGGCAGAGGAATTGCTGTAAAGTGGGAATTGAGCCATAGTGCTCTCTTGTTTAATATTCCCTTCCTGTCACAACCAGAATGAAATCCAGGCTCTCGACGTAGCCCCCGTTTCCTCCATTCTCCGTGTCGTTGAACACACTCCAGCCCAGGGCTTTGTGCTTGCTTCACCTGCAGCCGCGCGCTCTTTGCCCAGATACTCACATACCTCCTCCTCCTCACTCAGCTCTCGCCTCAGATGTCGCCTCAGAAGGGCCTTCCCTGCACATCCTGGTTGGAGCAGCACCTCTATCACATTACCCTGTCTTATTTTCTTAGAACAGCTACAACCTGGAATTATCTGGTTTGATAAGTATGCTTACCTCCGTTTTCCCTCTGCTAGGAGGTAATCTCTTTGCTGACCAGTACTCTGACCTGGGTCAGTGCCCTCAGACCTAGAATAGCCATTGGATACAGTAGGAACTGGGCAAATATTTGTTGACCGAGTGACCAAAGTTGATGTCAGTTAACTGTTAATTAGCTGTGTCATCTTGGTTAAGTCATAAGTCATTTTAACCTTTACGACTTGGTTCTCTCTCTTGGTTCTCTCTGTTCTCTTTAAAATTTTTTTTTTTTTTTAAAAAAAGAACTTATGCTAGGTGCTGGGGATACAAAGATAAATGAGAAGGAAGTCCTTGCCCTTGGGAGAGAATCGATGTCCCAGTTAGAGTATCATATACACAGGAAGTTTTTCTTCTCTGAGTGCTCGCTCTGGGTGAGTTCCCTTTCATAGCTGTGGTTGTTGAAGAATGTACTCCAGGGCTCTGTGCTTTGTGGAATTCAATCTCACGCTCACCCGATTTAAGGGAAGATCTCAGAGAGGAAAGCTATGAGTGTTAATTGTTCAAGAATCCTTCAAAGGATCTTCATTTGCTTCCCGCTGGCTTATTTGTGATTAAGCCTGATTAAACTCTTAAATGACTGTCTCAATTTAAAGAATTTTAAACTTACACTTGATAATTTTGAGTTTAGAGTATCAGCCAGTCATCAAGTAGTGATTTCCTGAATTATTTTCACTTCTTCCTCTATGGACTTAATAGCTATCTTAAGGGGTATGTTTAATACTAATGTCCCCAAATGATTGCTGAATTTCTATTAACTTTGAGAGAAAAGCAAGAAAACCCAATTCATAATGTTGTTTATTAAATGTGCCGGGCACAATGCTAAGTATATCATTTCACCTAACTCACATGACACAGTTTTGAAATAGGTACTATTATCACAGTCTTTTAAGAGACCAAACTGAGTTTCAGAGTGAAGTGACTTGCCCAGGGTCACATGGTTAGAGCCAAAATGATGATTAAGGCTGTTTTTCCCAAGGCTGTGTTCTTAGTTATTAGCCTACACGACTCCCAAGTCATACTTGTTAAACTGATCTACTGTTCATAAAAGCATCAGCAATAGGTTAATTTAGGTGAAGGATATATGAGTAATTGTACTGTTTCAGCTTTATTTAGTCAGCGTTTTGGATTAACTTGGACCTGTAAAAACTTTTTTAAAGCTATTACATAACAGGGATCTCTAAACCATGAGTTAGAACCTTTCAACCCTACTGTTTACAATTTCTGATTTTAAGTGGTCCTCAGTAGAAATGTACTGAACATGAAGTTCACCTTTTCTATTTTCAGTTTTCTGACTTTTCCCCTGAATCTGGATCTGTGTCAGCAGAGGCACCTTTCATCTGCTTATATGACCTAGAGTAATGGTCTCAGATATATTCAGGGCAATTGTTGCTGAAAAGCCAAAATGTAGAAAAGTGGTAATAGTCCTTTTATATTATAGATTGAAATAGGTCACCAAATAGCTTTTTTTCTTTTCAGTATTAAAAAGCTTATTCTATTCTAATAAGCCACTTTGATTTTTCATATTTTCTAGACCATAGTCTTGAGCTTACTTATGAGGTCAATTGGAAATAAGAACACCATTTTATTGGGTCTAGGATTTCAAATATTACAGCTGGCATGGTATGGCTTCGGTTCAGAACCTTGGTAGGTACAAATATTTTAATTTTCTTAATTTTGGTGTTTGCCGTGTTTTTGTTTTTTTCAGCTTTATTGAGGTGTAACTGACAAAACTTTTATATTTCTTAATTTGCTTCTCAATTAAGGCTTAGACTTTAATCTGTCTCTTAATATGCTTTTTTTCTCTCAAAGTGTATATAACACAGGTTTCTCACTTGTGTATTTGTATACTCTATAGTGGCTTGAGGATAGCAGAGTGACATTTTGTATCTAAGCAACAGGTTGGGTTTTTGAATGAGATGGAGTTTTTCAATTTCTAATGAGCATTTAATCCAGTTTAGTTTGTCAGAAAAACACATGTAATCCCAAAGCAGCAAGGTTAGGAAAAAAAAGTTGAGTAACACCAGTGATCATTACTGATGGCAAACCAGAAGTCCAGTTGTTTTGGTCCCAGCTTTATGCTGGGAAAGCTCTCTGGTTTTCTTGCCAGTCTGGTTTCCTGCAGGGAGGTGATGGTAATAGTGCTGCTGTCAGGTTGCGCATGCCAGGTATTACAGGACTGAACTCCACAATGTGCAGTAGTGTTTCATTCAACTGAACACATCATCTCTGTTTGGACTTGGATATGAGTAAGCACTAAGAGTGTGTTTTGATGGATGTTTTATTTTTCTGTCTAGACTTGCAAAAGAGGTGCTCACAATTTATCGAAAACATTTCTTTTAAACATCAAGCCAGTAGCACATTTAGATCAAATTAGTGATTTCTTCGCACTGAATCACAGGTCTCTGGGAACCCTGCCGTTCTACTAGCGAACGTTTGGAAACATTTAATGATGTTTCTCTACATTCTCTCCCCACCTGCCCAAGTCCTGCAGAAATAATACCCAACACACTTTACAGTTTAGATGTGATGTGTGATATCCCAATTCTACATTGAAACCCACAGGATTCTTGTGAATAAGTCGTTGTTTTTCTGCTTTCTAGAAGAGTAAACAGGGTTAGACTTTTAAGTGACTTGTCCAGTCACATAGGAAAGAAGGAAGAGCAAGTATAGTTCTTTTTCCTGTACCACAGCCATTTCTCTTACTTGATTTTAAGTATGTATTTTGACTTTGACAGGTACAGTGGAGAAGAATAATAACATACTATTTTTGTTTTGCTGCTTTTGATTGCAGGATGATGTGGGCTGCTGGGGCAGTGGCAGCCATGTCTAGCATTACCTTTCCAGCTGTCAGTGCACTTGTCTCACGAACTGCTGATGCTGATCAACAAGGTGAGTTGATAAGACCCAATGATAATTATTTAAAAATACAGAATATTCTAATCCTCTGTTCTGTCTCTTTCCTAAGTTCTGAAACATAAGCGTATCTTCAGGGTAGAGAATTTTAAATTGCTTTCATTGTACTCAGTACTCTGTAATGGCCCAAATGGGAAAAGACTCTAAAAAAGAGTGGATATATGTATAACTGATTCACTTTGCTGTACACCTGAAACTAACACAACACTGTAAATCAATTATACTGCAATAAAATTTTTTTAAAATAAATAAATTGCTTTCACTGCAAAGAGGAAAAGCAGATTCTAGGGTATTATCCTTAGGTAGATAACCTTGTCTCTCACTGTGAATATGTGGCCCTGTCTGTTCTTTTGCTAGAAAATTTAGTGATGAAGGTTAGTCACCTTATATTCACTAACCATTTATTTATTACATAAACAATATGCTATGATGTTCTAGACATCTCAGGGATACGCAGATAACCCTTTCATTAACACTGTATGTTTGTCACCTAAAGACACATAGAAAATGTATTTTTATTGTCTTACACTTTTGTGGCAGGAACACTTAATTCTTAAAATACTAATAGGTGAGGAATAATTCTTTGAAAAGCCTGTTTATGTCAAAAGGAAAAACAGGGGCATTACAAAAGAGTGGCAGAGGTCACTTAGTTATAAATAAGGAAAGGCCTGTGGCCAAATCAAGCTGCATTTTAAATTTGGGATAAGATCCCACAGGTAAACAAAAATCAAACTCTATAAAAAGGGGCTATATTTAGGGTCTTAAGTAGCTGCTTGGGGACAGAATTTTTAACAGCTGTGCTTATGAACTCATGCTGATTTTGAGCCAACATATTTTTTTTAAAGGAAATACAGTGCTTTTGCCCCCTTGTTTCTACATTAGACCTGAGCTTACATTTGCATCAGATAGCTCACTATACTTTGTAGAGCTTCTAAGTAATTTTGATGCCACTGCAGTAAGTTGCTAGTGTCTGGTAAGTTTTGCCTTTAGAATAAGTGATTTCATGTTTGTATCGGTTCTAGGGTAGGAAAAAATAAGTGGTACACTAAATAACTTGTTTAAACAATTCAGGTGTCGTTCAAGGGATGATAACAGGAATTAGAGGATTATGCAATGGTCTGGGACCAGCCCTTTATGGATTCATTTTCTACATATTCCATGTGGAACTTAAAGAACTGCCAATGACAGGAACAGACTTGGGAACAAACACAAGCCCACAGCACCACTTTGAACAGGTAATTATAAAAATATAGTTCATTTGGCTGGATTGAAAGGTGATGTTTTTTGGTCACTAAAGCTTTTATTTGAGATTCTTAGATTGAATAAAAACACTTAAAACCAAAGCCTAAGGGACTATGTCCTCCTATATACGTACTTCTTTATAAAATTGGCTGTGTGTTCTTTTCTTCCCTTGATAATTAAAAAATTATTTATGTATTCTAGTTTGTCTTAGTATACCTAGTGGCATAGGTAACAGCCATTTGTCTATACTACTGTTTGTCTTTCATCTGAGGCTTCTGGAATGTTAGAGGTTCCCTGTATCAGGTCTGCCTTCTGTAGAAGAATCAGTTAGGTGCTGGTAAACATCTTTGTTCACTTGCTCGCTATACTCCCCTCCATACAACTGAAAACATTAACAGCGAAACACATTATTTTAGCCAGTACAAACAACTCATTAGTTCCCTTGTATTTAGCAGAGTTCTACACTAATCTTCTAACCAGTTAAGACTACTTTTAATAAAAAAGAATGTTTGTCTGTGGGCTCTACACAGGTAAAACTGGCAGTGCAAGGTTTTGCTAAGAATGAATGTGATTTGGGGCTAAAACACAGGTCTGTTTGATCTTCTCATGGTAATGACATCATCTGTGTTTTCCTTACTTTGTCACTAGAGAATGTAGTTACCTTTTTAACAAAGAAAATGGTAATTGATTCTGCTACTGTAGTTAATATTATATACTACTTGATTTTACTTGTGAGATCTCCCTGTTTTCCTCTTGAACTAACAAATTAAGTGAAGGTTCATAGAATGTGTTCAGATTTTATGCTATAAATGACAATATAGTTTTGCATGTATTTGTTTTTAAAAAATCTTTTGGCTGTTTCTTGGGTCAGCTGTTATCCCCCAGAATTTTATGTTGAGAGTGTGACAGTGTTTCTTTTCCCCTTGAAAAGGGAATGTTTTTTCTAGCTGTGGCTTTAATGAAGAAAGAGAGGAGTCATTGGCTTATAATTCACAGCAATCAGTTACTACTAAAAGATAAGCAATTTCTTGTTATGAACAAAGAAGTCTTTGCAAAAATCCTAATTCTCTTTTCCTTCCTCAGAATTCCATCATCCCTGGCCCCCCCTTCCTCTTTGGAGCCTGTTCAGTACTGCTGGCTCTGCTTGTTGCCTTGTTTATTCCGGAACATACCAATTTAAGCTTAAGGTCCAGCAGCTGGAGAAAGCACTGTGGCAGTCACAGCCATCCTCATAGTGCACAAGCGCCAGGAGAGGCCAAAGAACCTTTACTCCAGGACACAAATGTGTGACAACCGAAATCAGGAAGACTTTTCTATCAGCACCCAGGTCTTAGTTTTCACCTATAGTTCTGGACGTACATTCCATTTCCATCTACAATGTACTTTAAGATTGTCTTAAGAAATGTATCTGCATGAACTCCGTGGGAACTAAAGAAAAGAACTGGACAGTTTTCCAAAGATGTTACAATTTCTTTTGAAAAGAAACCTTTTTGTTTATTAGCACCAGTTTCTTGCCATTAAGCTTTTTGTTTTATTATACATCCTTTAATTAAAATTTAAAACTATATATGTAACTTCTTAGATACTAGCAATGTCTCTGCTACCATTTCCTTCAGGTGTTGAGCTTTAACTATTTATGCTGACTCGCAGTGAGACAGAGTAGGTAGTATAGTGTGGAACTGTTCATTTTAACATTGTAAAATCGTGAGTCAGATTTTAATATTGTAAAATCTTGGGTCAAATAATTCAAAGCCTTAATGCAGATGCACTAAAGTAAAGAAATGGTAAATGAACTGTTTGCATTTAAAAAACAAAACTCTTAAGAAAACTATATTAAATCTGAATCATGTTTCAAGCTTGTTTGTAGTAATTTTATTTTAAACATTATTCACTACTGTTTTTGAAATGAGAAAATATCAGCCATTTAGAATTTAAATTGGGGTGTTTGGAGCCTGTAAATCTAAATGCTGGCTCGCATTTGTTCCCCAGCTACTTATACTATACCACTATTCTTTTAATGTTTGCATAATCATAAGAACCTCAACACTTGAATACATAATCTAAAAATTATATAGTAAAGCTGGTAGCCTTGAAAATGTTAATGTGATATCTATATGTAGATAAATATATATAGTGGCCTTTCAGGACTGTCACAGTAACACTTTATTTACAGATCTAATGTTTGTCCTAAATTTTCAGGACCCTAGAAGAGAGCTTTATACAATTACTGATGTGAATTTCTCTAAAGTGTATATTTTTGTGTCCAGTTATATTATTTAAAAAAGTGTTACTTTGTAAAAAATTGTACATAAAGTATTGTATAGTTTACACTGTTTTCATCTTATGTGTGGTTACTGCTTAATGCTTTTTAAACTTGGAACATTCACTATGGTTTAAATAAGGTCTTAAAAGAAATGTAAATATTCTGTTAATAAAATTAAATATTTTAATGATTTTTTTTTAAAGAAAGTCTTGATCTGTGATTCCCTTATGAGGCCTGTTTTGGCTTTGTTACTATATTTTTACAGTAACAAATCAAAGCATTATACCTTCTCCCTTTGAATCCATTTCATTTCCCTCAATAAAATACTGTTGTAGGAAGACAAAAGCAAAGAAATGAAAACTTAGTTCATAAATTAACTGTAAGTACTTAATTTTCTAAGCACAGGTGTTGTAGGTCAGTCCTATGTTTGTTTTTACATACTGTTTACATGTCAGATTCCCAAAATATTAATACTTTATTAACAAAGCTCACAGTTTACAGAAATACATTAAATGCAATATTTTGATTATTAACACATGTACAACTGCACACAGCAAAACAATTTCAAATAAAAGTTTAAGAGGTAGAGCAAATAATTAGCACACTTGAAAGTCTGTGTATATATATTTAATACCAAAAAGTCTTTAGCAAGTTTGATATCAAAATGATCTCTATATCTTTTGGGATTTCTCCCAGTTTTCCATGTGTGGATATGGAAAAGGATATCTATATTTAAAAAAAAGAGCTACCTGTATGTCATTTATCCTATCCAAACCCTTGTCACAAAGTTTTATATTACATACTATTTACAGGAAAGATTCCAATATTGCCAGAAAGTTTCTTTCCAGATTATTAGTGCTTTCAAGTTATTATAACTGAGTATTCTTACTAATATAGTATATCTAAATGACAAAAATATATATATAAAAAGTGACTACCTAATAACAGTTATTAAATTTTTTAGTTTAAGACAGCTTGTGGTTACCAGCAGTTTCAAAAGTATCATAAGGAAAGACTCAATACTGTGGCTTCATAAAAAAATTAGCAAATATTTTTTGTCTTACCATGGAAGCCAATAACATTAGTAGGTCCATCAATATCCTGAAATGTCTCTCTTCCTCATCTGTGTAATAAGGTCCTTGAAAATATTTTTTTTAAGTATCACATGAGCATGAGCAATCTCTGCAAACAAAATGATTTAGTTTTCTTAAGAGAATGCTACTCTACTGGATGGTTGTCTGTAAGAAAACAAAATGCAACCCTGTGATCCTGGGTGAATTTTTTTTAAATTACCTCATTTTTCCCAAGGAACAATTCTTATTTGAAACTTTTAATTATAGGGAAGAGAAGAAAGTTGTAACTTCTAACATTATTCATTTTGCCTACTTTACTAATAAGCAAACATGAAAATGAACCTATTTTGATATAAGCAAAATGAATATTCATGATGCTCTCAGTAATTATTTTGTGTAAGTACTAATTTTTAAAACAAATATTCCACTAATACAGATTTAACTGCATAACAAACAAAACTCCAAATGAAGAAGAAAAACTGGATGACTGTAGACTTCCAGGAAGCATTAAAATCTATAAACTGCACCTCAAATGACTAAAAGCACTTTGTACCTAATCTGGTCATATAATTAGACTGTCCAAGATTTTCTGTACAATAAATTTATCAAAATTACTTAACAGACTTATTCAAAAGATAATTTAAAGGTTTCAAGGAAAATATTTACTTGCTATGAAGAATTTATTCATTTAAGGTAATTTCAGGACTTTTCCCTTTACTGTAAATATCAATAATATATCTCAAGAGATAATTATTTTCCCTTAAAATTCTCAGGTGGCAAATTTAAAACTTTTATTGTACTAATGAAAAGGATAAAATGAATTGATAGCATTCTTTGGTTTCATACTAGTATATATATCTGAGCAGGTTTTAATTAACTGAGTTATTGAATATGATTAGAATGTCCCCTTACAAGGATCAACTCTTTCCTTAGAACTTCTGAGAATTTCTAAGGATTAGTTTAATAAAATTCATACTATTATTCTACAAAACACCATGTTCCAAACTAAAAAGAATCTTCACCCATTCCCTAGTACAAATATGCCCCTCTAAACTGCATAAACGACAGCAGTGCTTAAAGGATCCAAACAATCTAATACAGTAGCTCAAGTAAACTTTGAAACTTGCTTATTCAGAATTTCATCTGTGTTGTTTCTATATTAAAACCATGCTGAATTTCTAAAATTTCAATAAAAGTAAAAGATGACACTAGGATTAACTGTTTGGTAGCTGCCCAGGGAAATACGCTGAAGATGTAGAAGGGAGGACTACGGGTTTGGAAGATGTCTGTAATGCTCCTAAAGTGCCGTCTTTTTGATGGTCTGCAAATGAGGACAAAAAAAGATTATCTGCATTCACTTAAGTCTTTATATAATACATTTAATTAAACCACAGTGTACAATCCACTTCAGAAATGTCTTCTCACCTGGATTATTGAATAGATTTTGGTTGAGCCCACGTAAAGGAATGCTGTCTTCCCTTTTCTTCAGATATTTGGATTCCAGCCCTAAATTTTCAGCACTTGAAAGGAAAATAGTAATTATTTACTTATTTTAACAAAGTCTTACTTTCGCTTCAGTAAAGTTTGAATGTTTAATCTATATACATACATATACTATGTATGCAATAATATGTTATATTTATAGCTTTGTTCAAAACAAATCCCATTTTTCACTGGGTTCTTAAGCAAATAATTCATCTATTCATAAACCAAAGTATACTTCTCCCCAGTAAAGAGTAAGTTATCTTTTTCCTTTGACCAAAAGCTCCTCAAAATTTTGTTATGCTTCAAAGTTGTCATTATTAAACATTAATACATATTGTACAATAATGAATTCTGGTCAGATGAATACAAATATGAAATTTTGAAAAAACAAAGGAAGGGATATTTCTGTAGTTGTATTTTTCCTCTTTCAACCACGATATTCCTTCTTTCTAAATCTGTCTCGTATTAACAGTTTCTATATTAGTACACCTGCAAGAAGTTCAGGGCTCTTGCAAAACAATGACATTTTATCTTTAAAATTAAATGATGGTCTTTTCCCAATTTTCAGAAAAGAATTAAGTGGCTGAATAGGTGTCTTTTCCAATTTAAAATTTTTTCTTTAACCTTTGCCACTTGTTACTAGCTGACAACAAAACAAACCAATTCTAAACAAAAATCTCAAAATAGCTGAACAGTCCCAATTTTATGGACACGATTATGTTTGATTTTGTACCACAAATATGATCTGTAAGTAAAATTGTTCTTAGTGTGGTATGATGGAGTTAAATAAACATCATGGTGTTCTACCATTAATATGAATTCTAGGTGCTCTGCCACTAACAAATATGAGCTTAAATATAACAAGCACATACATTTCAGGACTTCAAAGAATTCTCACTTTTAAAAAATAGAGGCTCATAAACATTAACTATTTTAATACTCATCTTGGTACTAATTTTAGAGGAGCCAATGAGTGAAGAGAGCTGGAATAAGAAGCCTCTTTGAGCCATGACAGTAATTTTTTAGTTTGCAATATACTGGGGATGGTGACAGCTCATGATAATGAGTGCCAGCAGACAGGCCTTAAAGCGATTACATTTTAAGTAAATAAAGGCACAATAAGAAAACAGTATTACAAACAAAGACTACCCAGAGAGACAAGTTTGCATCTATAAGTTGTTTACTCTAGCTACAACTCACTGATTCAGCAAACTTCAGTACATAAAACCTGCTTAAGATCTAAAAAAATAGGCAAAGAATCTCTGAGTAGGCAAAACAGAAGTCACAAATTGGCACTAAAGCTTACTTATGTTAGCTTGGCTAGGGGGCAACCTCACAAACCCTTTTACTCTTATCTACCCCAGAATTCTAACAGTTTAACCAGCTGATTTCTCAGTTTACTTTACACTGGAAGCAATTACTCAGAAAAACAAAGAGCTTCTAGAGACAGACACAGCCATACAAGAAAACAAAAGCAAAACAGCCAACTCTGAGGAATTTAAAACATTTCTATCTATTTGCCCAAGAATATATGAAAGGGTGTTCTTCAGTTATGTAGGAAAATCCCTTTTAAAAAATTAAATTTTACTATATGTCTATCCTACAGTTTTAAAAAATGTGAGAAACCTCTTTCTTATAGCTAAAAGGGACTAAGTCAAATCCCACTGATCAGCAACTTAAAACGTTACATAAATAAGTGGTCATAATAGCTTTCAAACACTGATAAAAACTCCCTTTCAAAATTACAAACATTAAAAAAAATTACAAACATTAAATTTTATGTCAAGAGCTTACTTTTCCTTATCAGTTGAGCAAGGCATACTAACAGTTGTTCCTGATTGAACATCTCCTAGTGATGTACTTGGTTTTGTAAACTGCAAGTTAAACTGCACCTGTAAAGAGGGAAAACATGTAACTGAATTAGTGAGAACTGAGACAGTTCTATATGGAGATAGGTGGTTAAATTTTTTCTCTGATGAATATAGACCACAGAAGTTCAAGCTATATAACACAAGCACATTTTATTGAGAAGATTTAATTTAAAAATCCATTTCTCCTCGACAAAAAAGTTCCTGTCATATCAGCAAGATGAACAGCACAAATTATCTTAATTATTTTGAAACAAAAACATGAACACTAATACATTTAAATGTTATTGATGCTAAAAGTAACCAAATACCACGATGATGCATTTACCTCATGCATTCTGAGAATTCTTCCCTTTTCACGAACTTTAAGCCTGTCATATTTAAGGATTCTAAATGAGTGCTAGGAATTTGAATACTGAAATAGTCAAAAGCAATCCAAGAATCTATACAAAAGTCCAAACTAAAATATCAAGCATATAGTATGTAATAGTTTATTTAAAGTAATAATGACTATGACTGAGGAGGTTTCATACCAGGAATGGGTTCTATGTTAGGAAGTCTATAAATGTAAGTCACCATACTAATAAATCAAAGAAAAAAGGTATGATGACTCGCATAAAGAAAAAAAAAAAAGAAAGAAAAAAGGAAAAAGGCATGAGAAGATAAATATCTATTTTTGGTAAAAAAAAATCATAATAAAATAGGGAGAGATACTAGCTTAATAGGATAAAATTATAAATGAGAAAGGTATATGCTGCTGTCCTTG